GCGATATCCCGATCACCCATCCCCGCATCGGAAGCGGCTGCCAGCGAGCGAAGCGCCGTGTCCAAGACAGGATAGGGCTCATCGGTATCTGTATTTTCAGAGGAGTTCGTTGTTCCCGTTCTCTTTGGTAGCGATGCATCAAGCAGAGCAAGGTCCTCTAGCAGTCGGTCCACGCTGGCGGTGGATGTGGGTGGGGCTTTGTCGGGGTTACGAATAAGGTCCTGCAGCAACGCTGCATTGCGGCGCAGCATCGTACTGGAGCTCCATGAGGCGTCCAGCACTTGTACCAGTTTTTTTTGGTCTTCCACGCCCAATCGGTGTGCCATAATCAACGCTTCTGCCGCAGCCGCGTTGTGGGAAGCAACGAGGGCCTGTGTGATCATTTTGGTCGCCGATCCACTGCCACTCCCGCCCATGTGATGGACATTATCAGCATACATGTGAAATATTGGCAGCATTTTTTGAAACGACTCTGCGTGGCCTCCAACCATTAACACCAGCTGAGCATTAAAGCAGGCGCGCGGACTGCCACTCATTGGGGCATCCAAAAAGTACGCACCCCTTTTCTCGGCTTCGTATGCACACTCGCGGGAAGTGTCAATATCCACCGTTGTGTGATCCACGATGATCTGACCCTTGCGTGCGTTGCGAATGAGTGCCTCACTGTCCTCCAAAAGAGCATGTCGTGCCGCATGCACATCAGCCAATGCCAACAGCAACACATCGCACCATTTGGTCATGGTTGAATATCGATCATGAATCCGCATGGCGCATGAGGCACCATCCACCGAAAGGTCATCGCATACACGGCGAGCTTTGCTAAGTGTCCGGCTATGTATCTGAAGGTACATGGCACTACGGGCCTTGAAGCCAAGATTGCGGGCGATGGGAACACCCATGTTGCCCATACCAACCACGCCAACGTTCAGTGAACGCTTGATCGCCGCCATTTCACACCAGCGGGAAAGAATCCTCTCCCACCACCCTTCTAATTTACCTTTATATATTCCCCCCAGCCAATATCAGTCAAAAAGAAAGAAGTGTCATGTCCATTTATAAAAAAAAAAAAAAAAAAATGGTAAACAAACAAAAAATAATAATAATAATAATGAGGGGATGTCAGGGGATCCCAATAGAACGAGTGACGGTTTTATTCCGTCCACATATTAGAGTAAAAATTAAATTTAAGAAAAAACACAAACACAAACAAAAACACAAAGTATCAGTGTAAAGCACAGTTATATATATATATATATATATAGATAAATAGATAAATAGATTATGAAAGTAGTGCAGAAGAGATGTATGAAGAGAGGGAAAAAGGGGGAGAAGGGTAAAGTTCATGCAGGAGATGCGTCTGTCCTCACGCACAGTTAATTAAATATTTCGGACCAAAACATCCATCTATCCACACACACGCAACCATCCCCCTTCCTACACATATATATATATATATGGTTCCCTTTTATCTTCTTCATAAATGTTATATATACATGTACATTACGTGTATTCTTTCCGTGTTTGTATATATATATATATGGACATCATGTCTTGGGTAACTTATGCCCCTCTCCTTCCGCCTTCCATGTCATGTACTTTCCTTGCGGTTTATGCTCCCAAGATGACGTTGTTGATTGGAATGAAAATGACCTTGACAAAAAATCCTAGAAATCCCATGATGACAAATCCCATCAGCGTCGCCATTGCCGCCGTGGTGAACTCGCTGTAGTTCGGCTTCTGGCATTTACGTACGAGCATGCGGCTGTTGCGGATAAACGCTGTAACAGGATAAATGACGGCTTCGTCAAGAAAGTCCATTTTTATTTTTTTATTTTTTTATTTTTTGCCTTCAATGATGCCTCGTATATCGACGTAAATAACTGCCTGAATCCTGCACAATGAGCCCTAACGGATACACACCTTCTTCTTTGCTTCGAGCAAACCCTCTTGGGGGATTCACCCACGCATGCAGGCAACATAAAAAAAGAATTAATAAAAAAAAAAAAAAAAAGGTGTGTGTGTGTGTGAAAAAGAAAAACAACAACAACAACAACAAAGAAATGTTACGTTTTTCCCCATCATCTGACGTGAGCAGCGTCGTGGTTACGGCAACAATACGCCACAAAGTCAGGGAGCATCGCAGAAGAAAACACCAACACCACGGACAACAAAAATAAAAAGGATGTGTGCGTAAAGGAACGAGTACGAAGGCGTCGTTCTCTCTCTCTCTCTCTTTCTGGGGCCTCCCCTGCAGTCACCACCGAGACACGCCAACAAAACAACAATAAAGAAATAATAAAAAGAGAAGAGTGCAAAAACCCGTCCCCACCCTCCCGCGCGCAGTAAAACAATTCCTCGTGTTGTCTGCCTGGACTCTCCTCCCTCTCTTTCCCTCCCCACGCCTCTCTCTATGCCTTCTATTACTGTGCGTAAAGCACACATGCATGCATACATCCAAGTATAAACAAATCAATGCGTGCATGCGTGCCTTATAAAACAACAACAACAACAACAAGAACGAAAAAATAACCCCCTTTCCATTACAGCCACCACAAGCATGTATATATAAATATAAATATATATATTACTCCTTTCCTTTTTTCATTTAATTTTCTTTTCACACGCCTAGCCTTCAATTCGTCCCCCTCGTAATCCGCCCACTCTTTTTTTTTTTTTTTTCTTCTTTTCTCTTTGAATTATAAAATTTGTTAACATTACAAATGGCTGCATCCGTCATGAGCGGTACGCTCCCCTCATTTTCCCTGTACACACGCACACATGATGTATACATGAGTTATTGTTTGTCATCTTCATCAACCTCCTTTTGTTGTCCTTTTACTCCTGCAGCAAATTCTTACGAAAAAAAAAAAAAAAATAATATATATATATATATATATACTCCACATCACCCCCTCTCCTCACCCCCCTTCCTTCCTTCTCGGTGTTGCTTGCGGGCCTCTCACCACCATCCCCCTTCTTTTTCTTTTTCTCGTTTATTAAACTTCTATAAAATTCAGTAGAGAAATCTCTCCGTTATTTGTTTACGTTTTTTTTTTTTTTTTTTCCCTTCCCTCGTCCTCCTCTTCTCTGCCAATCCCCCGCGTCCTGAGACTGCGAGGATGCTGACATATGCCGTGCCCTCTTTTTCATTATGATACCGGCATCAAGTCCCCGGCGTAGAATCCTTCCTGGGCGTCAAGCGAGGGGTTCTCATCCTGCTGCAGCAGCGGCTCCACCTTCGCGTCGTGGTTTGGAAGACAAAAAAAGACAACGCTGCAACGACTGCTTCCATCCTTCACATTTCGCACGCGGTGCGGTGTTGCCTCCAGCAGTCCACCGGTCCACTTTTCCAGGAATAGACCCGCGTTAACAAGCAGCGCGTCATTGAGAACAGGCACGGCAACGTACTTTTCATCCTCGTCGTCCCAGACCTCCAGACCACCGAGGGCGTCCTGCGCTAGTAGGGTGATGGTGCTCAGGTCTTTGTGTGTGTCAAGGCGAATGGTTACATCCCCTTTTGCCTCGTCTGTGCCTTCCTTCAGTAATGGCTGCGCGAGGGCACCTTTGCGTCGCAGTACTTTTGCTCCATACGGATTTGAGGCAGAGCGCGCGTTTTTGATCTCCACACCATTATTCATGCGCGTTACCTGTCCCAACTGTGGGTAGTACTTTGCCTGCAGGTCAAAGTCAAGTTTGTTGTGGAAGGGGGTGAAGAAGTCAAGATCGTAACCGCTCGCCGGGTCTGGGCCACCCTGTGGAATCGTAGGGCGGACGCCTAATCCACAGCTGATATGTCGCAGCACATCAATTGACACCTCCGCGCAGAGGTCAAAGTATGCCAACATCATCTCACGGTAGTCGGCCATGAAGGTGTCCGTGCCGGGGCTGCTTACATTGCCACTGGGGTGGTTAAGCAGCACCTGCCAGGGCGTCTGTCGGCTAATCAGCGGTTTGTACTCCTCTTCATTCCACCCACTCAGTTTGTAATACGCCTCCCGCAGGTGTGCCGGCTGCTCCACCTCACGACCGACGGAGAAACACTCAATGGCATCATCCAGCCCACTGGCACCGACATAACGGTGGTACCCACGGAATCCAGAGGGCGACTTGATACTCTCCAACTCGTACGGCGAAAGGGGCAGAACAGGCTGCTGGTGCGTGTCTTGCTTAAATCGCGTCGTCATCGTCGCTGGTCTCGCAGCAGCGGCGGCGGTGTCTGTGACGTAGCGCTCAAAAAAGATGCGGCTGTCACGGTGAAGCTGATCCAAAATCTCCTTCTGAATAAATGGATGCTGCACGTAGCAATAGCCATGCATCTGGAGGGATTCCAGAAGGGCATTGCTAGCTGCCTCCGTCACATTCTCTGCACCTCGACCTATTTTGACAAGCGTTGACAGACAAAATAAAGTGCGACGCATCCTTCACTCTATCCCTCCTCCTCCTCCTCCGCCTTCTTCCTTCTCTATGCCTCCGTATTATTCCTCCTCCCGTCAGCAGGAGTGTATGCAAAAATAATGTAAGAAATGTTTATATTTGTATGTGTATATGTGTGTAATGACAACTCCCTGCACGCGTCGTTGTTCAACTCCCCTTCTCGCGCCTATTGACCGCCCCGCAGTTCAATTCTTCTTTACTCCGCCTTACGTGCACGCTGTCAGGCAAAGCCCAGTCAGTTAAAAAAAAAAGAAAAGAAGACATAAAGATTAACACACAAATAGCACACAGAAAGAAATAAGCCTCCAGGGAAAGTGGGAGACGTTCACTGATTAATTTGCAGTCAAGGCCGCAGCAAAGGCAACAAACAACAGCATCACATGAAAGCAAAAGTTATGCAAAACGACACAAAAGGTGCGTACGTATGCACAGAAGGGGGATATCTCTCATAATCATACATATTCCACATACGCGTATCAGCCGACAGTGGCAGGCAGCCACTGTCACCACCAAACAGAAATTGCCTGTTTACACGTTGGCAATGATAGCATCAATGAGAACAAAAATTAATGCGGCAGTAACGGCAGGGATTGCTGTTGTGATGCCACCGGAGATTTATCCAGCCTATATCCATAGTATTCCCTCAAGTTATTCTCAGCCGCTTCCATAAGACGCTCCTGCTCCCTCAACAACGTGTCATAGTCTACAACGGATTCAAAAAAGTCCCCCCGGCACTTTGGCGGCAGTGGCAAAGATTCCTCGCGTGTTTCGTAGCGACGCAGCAGCTCGACCCCCTCTTCACCGCCAATGGCAATAGCCAGTTCCTTCAACAGTGTACCAAAACGGTGGGAGTAAAAGCGATAGTTATGAAACGCCTTATTCGTTCGTTCTTCAAGCAGTCGGCTCGGTAGGACACGTCTCCGCACAGCAGGCGCCTCAGAATCCCAGTACCGCAGCCCACGGAGGGCGTCCCGCTCACGAAGATCACCGTTAGAAAGCGAATGGATGGTAAATCGTGAGGGTTGTTCTTCCTCCACCTCGCTCACAGCCCTCTGAGGAAACGCATTCATTGGATTTCGCTTCCGCTGTTGTTGTTGTTGTTGTTGTTGTCTTTGTTGTAAAAACAACTCCTCACCCTCGTGCATTCGCAAAATCTCCAAAGCGCCATCGTTGGACTCTTCCTCACTGCGATTGAAGCTTCTACTCGATGCCGAAAACGGCTTTATGGAAATTTCCCGCCGTCCTTTGTGATCCTTTGCCTCAATGACGTTTGTGTCCGCGAAGGAGTTCACTAAATGGGCGGGGAGAACAACGGGGGGTCGTTTGAATTGCTTCGCCAACTCCGCAGCGTATCGCTCGTAGTCCTCTGCGGTCTTCTGCAGCTCCTCCTCGCGTTGAAGCAGCAGGTTTTTGTATTGTTCCGAAAAACTCGTGGTCCAATTGTGTGGGGGAACCTTTAAACTAGCTTTCATACTCGACATGGATGATGATTGGGATTTTTGTTTCAAAGGCGGGAGCGTCATGGCGTGTGTTTGCGTATTTCGACCCGCCGCCGCATCCTCCTTCGCCTGTCTCTCCTCTAAAAATGAGCTACGTGCCATAGAACCAAACAAAGAGGGGGTGTGAGGAACAAGGTCCACCTCCCCTGTAGCACGAACAACGGTCGGGTGTGGCCTGACGGGGGCCAGCATGTCTTCCAGACTCCCCCCACATTCTTCGGTGTGTCGATCAAGTTCCGCCTGCATCTGCAGCAACTCCAAGCCACGGTGGAAGAGCAGCTCCCTGCATATATCCGGCGTCTGTGTGCATTCTTGATTTGTGCCGGCCCAGTTCGCTGAGGGTGATACCGCCCTCTCTCCTCCGTTCTCCTCTTGAGGCCCTTTGTCTTCCTGGTGAAGTGAATCTCGCTGCCTTGGCAATTCCTTCGCCGGCGAGTCGGCGGCCAGTACGAAAGATGGTCGTTTTTCTACATCGCACGGGTGAGGAGACGACCCATCTGCGTTGAAATTGTCGCCGACGCCACTGCCATTGCGGCAAGAGCCAACGTCGTCCAAACTCATGTCCAAAAAGGACATGAAATTTTAAATGCTGCGATATTCAATGGAGCACCAATACCACTTCACCAGATGCTCTTCCTTTCTCTTTTTTTTTTTTTTTCTTTGGACCTTTTTTTGTTTCCCCACCACAACCCCCTGAGTGCCGCCGCTGCTGCTGCTGCTGCTGCTTCGGTGACACTTAAAGCCGCGATGGCGGGCGTAGCGCAAAAAAAAAAAAAAAAAAAAAAAAAAAGAAAGGAATATGGAAAAACATGAAGAAACAACAGCAACAACAGCAGAATAATTTGCCTGCTGCATGTGTACGGCTCATAAAATCCCACTCCCATTCTCTCCTCATCGTGTAAGGAGGAAAACTCTCTCATTCCTCCCTTCCCCTCCCTCATCCTCCTGCTGGTCTCCTCCCATCCAACCGCCCACATATACCCACGGTTGCCTCTCTCACCAGCGCCGCATCACATATGTGTTCCAGTACTCCTTTGCCATCTGGGTGTAGTTGATCTTCGCCATCTCAAGAAAGCCCATCTTGTGGAGGTTCAACCGCGGTCGTGCCTCCGGAAATCGCCGCTTCGCTCCATCCGCAGCCAAAAAGCGGAACATCGCCAAACTACGCTCACTAGTCTGCACGGCAACGGCGATTTGCTCCGGATCGCGCAGCTCTGCACCCTCGCGAAACTTCTGCCGAATGATGATGACAAAACGTTCGTTCATTTGTGCATGTTCGTTCAACTCGCACAGCGCGGAGGGCGGGCATAAAACGGCAAGTTTGAGCCACTGACGGTACGCGCGACATACGCGGTACGTGTGGGGAATTCCGGGAAGGTTTGTGCCCGCCCGCTCAATGACATCCGCGGCCACAGGTGCCACAAGCGCCTTGCTGCACAGTGCACGCTGACACACCCGACAGGCGCGCATCGTGCCACCAACCTAATGATGATGATGATGCCTCCCACCAATCCTAATTTATAACTTTGTTTTTCCTTTACCACACAAAAATGAACAAACAAAACAAAACAAAACAAAAAAAAAAGGGATAAAGAAAACAATTGAATCCGTGTGTTGTGCCCAAATTATGAGACAAAATCGCCACAAAAAAAAAAAAAAAAATAAATAAAAAGGATCCAATGCATACACACATTGGTCAATAAGCCTATGTTATAGTGACGCACACAGATGCACAAATACATGTATGATCCCCGCAACATCGCATTTGGTTTCATTTGCAGAATTGCTTGAGGGACACATGTGCACTGCACAAAAATTTGTTTGGAGAGTTGTTGATTCTATTGGGCCCTACAGACCGTTATTTACATGCATTCGTTCACATCAAAGTCCTCAATTTTTATTTTGTTTTTTATTTCCTCTTCTTCGTTGTTTCCTTCCATTTGAACTGAATCTTTCTCTCTCCTTTTTCTTTTTTTCCCCCTTCCCCAATATTGTCTTTATACATTGTGCGAGAAGAACAGCAATTGCCGCACATTTCGTCAAATTCTTATTCTTTTTTCATTTCTTTCCCTTGTTAAATAAATCCTTCTCTCTCTCCTTTTTTTTTTTTTTCTTAAATGTGTGCGTGCCCTAATCCGTGGATCCCAACAGGGCAACACCCCGCATGCGCCAGTACGCGTCGTCCTCAGCCACGGGGAGATTCACGTCGAAGATCCAGTGCAGATCGGAGCGCGTCGGGTACTTGTACACGGGACAGCGGTAGTACTCCTGCTTCTTCTGCTTCTCCTTCATTTGTCCTGGTTTAGTGGGCGCGATTACCGCTTGCTGCGGAGCGTCCTTGTTGTACGCCGAGATGAGCAGCATCGGTAGCTCCCGGAAGAGATCGCCGGGTGGTGGGTCCTTGAGTCGCTTATTTGACTTGTCCCACATGGCGCTCTCGAGAAAGAGGCCGTAGATGACAACCTCGCCCCGCTCGGTCTTGAGGTCCTCCGCCTTCGGCTCTTGGTTGGGGCGGAACTCGGAGGAGCGCACCTCCGTTCGCGCCTCCACCTTGTCGAGAG